TCATAAAAGTAAGTTTGGCATGAATCCTTTAGCAATATTCCTGGTTCTTTTCTGAAATCTGCAGCTGAATAGGAGATAAACCATTCCTTCAAGGAAGGACTCCCAAATCACCTCATCAACATGACAACAGACAACTTTGTTGCTCTTATCACTTAGTAAATTCCAAGGGCTTTAGGGGCTCTGTACCAAAAAAGAGGATGAAGACCAATATATATTTCTTATTACAGATCAGTGTCACATAGGGTGATCCTCTTGAAATACGTCATTTCTCTACTCTACTCAAAACCCTCCAGTGACTTCTCATCTGACTCAGAATAAAATCCAGGGTCTTATTATGGCCTATAAGACCCTCTGTGATATGCTTTAATCCACCCCCATCACTGCCCTAAGCTCATCTTCTACCAGTCCAGACCAGGCTCACCCACCTTCATTCTCACCACTCCTCAAAATTAAAACCAGGCAGCTCCCACCTTAGAACATGTGGTTCCCTCGGACTGAAATGCTCTTCTCTCAATATCTTCAGGGCAGTTTCCTCACTCCCTGCAGGTTTTTACTTCAAAGTTGCTCTTTTCATGAGATCTTTCCTGGCCTCCTACCCTAGCATGTCAACTCCCTTCTTCCTGTTCATGATCAGCTCCCCTTCTGGCATGTAAAGCCAAAAGTCAGATTTCTGTCTATTTTGTTTACTTTTGTATCCCCAGAACCAAGTACAGTGTCTGGCTCATAGGAGGCTGGCATTTTATAAATAAATAGCTAAATGAGCGAATGATTTAGTAAATGAATGAATGAGTTCTTCAGTAGAGTCATAGACATGATGTACACAATCAATTGAAGTAGAACAAAAAAATAAACCTAAATATATGTAAGGATATAATGTTATTACATTTCCAAAAGGTATTCCTTTTACACATTGTAAATGTGTTATTAGAACATTACTTTGGGTTTACCTTAGGTATCTTTGCAAACAGCCCAGCAGTCAGTCTTAGCCTTGACTTAGCCTTAGTCTAAGCCTTGACTGTTTTTTACTTATAACAATCATGTTTTTGACCTAACAGTTAGGTGGGTTTGTGAATATGACCAAATTCTCTTGGAAGTCTAGATGGAATTATGTGACATAAAACCACAAGTTCTCACTTGCACCCCCTGTGTCCACCACTAGCCTTTATTAAAGGCAACCTGTTACCTGTGCAGGAGGTAACCATCTCTGGTTTCCATCTATGTCTACGTGGTCACAAAACAAAACTGCCTGTCTTGGCCTGACCTTGTTGGTACAGGATCTACCCAACAGAGAGAGAAACGCACCTGTGGTGATGGAACTGTGCTACCTGATTGTGTATTGAGATTTCAAGTGAGTTTTTCTCTGCCTACCTTAAACCACTGTACCATAAATTTAGGACCTTGTTGGAAGAGAATTTTACATGCATAGATATGATTTCCATTAAAATTGTCCATTTTAAATTCCAAAGCCCTTGGGGTAAAAAAAAAAAGAAAGAAAGAAAAGAAGATGTATATCTTAGCTCGGGCTGCTATAACAATCTCACAGACCTGGTGGCTTAAACAACAGACACTTATTTCTCACAGTTCTGGAGGCTAAGAAGTCTAAGTCAAGGCATTGGCACAGCTAATGTCTGGTGAGGACTCCTTTCCTGTCTTGTAGACAGCTGTCTTCTCTTCTATCTTCATATGGAGGGGTGAAAGAGAGGGGGGCGGGCATTTACCTTAGCAGAAAAGGGCAAGGCAGGTGGGGCAAAGGGAGGAACAAAAGAAGGAACCAGGTAGGAATTCCTCCTCTTGAAACCATGGGACCCATGTGTACAAATGACTGACGCCAGAAGTTGACTACATGGAGAGCCCCAAAGATTTGAAACGTCTCATTGACAAGCCCACACCCACAAATGAAAAAAAAAAAAAATCACACATGCGTCGCTCTACTCCTATCAAAGATTCTGCAATTCAGTGTTGTCGAATCTGAAGTTAGGAGGAGGAGGAGAGAGGAAGTGGCTAATGCTTATAAGCCTGCTCCCTTAGGAGGAACTGGAATGGCTCCATTAATAATTGTCCTGTCTTTATCAGATTTCACTTTCCTGGAACTTCCTCAGTTCTCTCTATGCCTCACTTCACAGGCAGGTTCTTGGTATTCAGCAGCAACCCTTCTTAAGGCAAAAAGGAGAGTGTGGCAGTGTGGTGAGCTAATGACAACATTTATAATGCTTATTTGATGCCAGAAAGAAAGAAAATTGCCCCAAAATGACAAAACAAAGTTCACCTACACACTACATATGCACATAATAAAAACACTTATCATTTTCTTAAACTCAGGAACATTCAGCTTTATGTAAAAAATAACTATATACCAAAGGAACAATTTTGAGGTGAACAGGCAGTTCTATAACAAATGTTAATTCCTCTTTATCCATGCGTAATAATACTAACTTATTTCTGGGGCATGACTGAGTTTTCAGGGCACCATCCGTGCATTATAACATTTCCTTTACAGAGAAATCCTCTGAAGTAAGCAAATAAGCATTATAAACCCACACTTAGAGATGAAGGACATCAGAAATAATTTGATAAAGTGAAAATACATATATATAAATCAATTATATATAGTTCTTTATATGATAATCATGTGAGCTAATTCCCTATAATAAATATTATATTTAATATATATATAAAATAATAATATATAGTATAATATAACATGTATTTAAAAAATCTATGTATAGATTGGGGAATCAAACACCTGAGTTTGTCACAAACAAGGCATGGGGACTTTGAGTAAGGTAGGCAAAGTGTGTGTGTCTCAGTTCACTTATTCATGCATAAAAACAGAAATACTACCTCCTACATGGAATGTTATAAGGCTTAAATGAAATATTACCAAAGAGCTATTTCACAGTAACTTTCTTCCCAATATTTAAAATTCCTTCTCAAAGAGGAACTAGATGGACCAAGGTCCAAAGTTCAGAATTTCTGATTCCCATTCTGGTGTGTATTTCTTCCTACCAGCCTGCTCATGAAGATGAGTGGTGCTTACATTTGAGCCAATGACTGATTATTTCCTAAATAGTTGTAGGCTGACCATCTTAAGTGACTTTGATCTCCATAAGGATGGCCATTCTGACCAAGATACATTCTCTCTTCTTAAGGGTTCTCACCGTGTGCATGGGGAGATAAACAGATTTTTAAAAAAATACTAATAATTATTGTGAAGGCCCTAACACCTAAGAGTTTCTGAACTTAAGTCTGGGCTATTCTAATTGTGGATCAGCTTGACGTCTATCTTCTTCTATTATCTGAGCTTATCACCTCACTGTGGAGCATCCACTTAATAGTTCTGAGAGAAACTGAGAGTACCCCCAAAGGACCTACTTACCACTGTCTGAGAAAAAGCAAACAAAAAAACAAAGTCTCATAAAAGCAAAATTTTTCCTAACATGGATTTCAGAATAAGTGTCCAGTAGGAATCTGTAGATAAAGGTTAACGTGGTCTCATACCATGGTCACACAGTGTTCAACTCTGGTCTCTCAGAGAACAGGGCAATGATCTCTGCATGAATATCTCATATCATCAGTCCAAAAGCCAGAGACATTTCCAAAGGAAGCCAAAGTGGCTCCGTACAAACCCTCTCAGCTTTTGCAACCTGACATTGCAATCGATTATTTAACAGAGAAAGTCAGTTGAGCAGGAAATTGCAAAATAATAATAATTTTATAATTAATAAAAATTATAGATGTGTATTTGTTTACTATTCTTTCAAAATAGGATCAAAGTCATTTCTTTGATTAGAGTTTGCCAATTAGATTTATTTTTCTATGAATACACATAAATCATACAGGTGCCTGTGACATTTATTTGGGATTTTCAGTTTTAGATTTTTTTTTTAAGTGTAGAGAGAACTTGAAGCACTTGCAAATCAATCTGTCATAGCCAAGTTTGGGGAAAAAAACAAAAAACAAACCTACATCTGACCTTTGGTAAGGAGTCCCTCAATGGTGAGAGCTAGTTACAAGTATTCAGCATTTCATAGGCTCCAGTTAATGTTTTATTCAGGGGAAATGAGGAGTATTGGTCAATCAAGGAATAAGTTAAGTGGAGGTCAGTTAAGAGCGCCCCCACTGTGTGTCCTGCATCTATTGATAATCCCAGGACAACTCTTAAAAAACATTAAGAATGTATGGTTTAATGAAACTCCAATTACCTCTATTAACATCACCATGGCAAGCAAAGTCAGAGCTGAATTCTCCAATGAGGCTTAAAGCACTGCTATTTTGTATTGCCACTTGTTTGGAGATCCCCCTGTTTGAGATATCAAAGTTTTAGTGCATGTTCTCTATTAGGGGAGCAACACATTTCTCTGGAGACGGGATGCAGGATTGCTTTGAGGCCAGACCAAACAGTTTCTCAAAACAAAACAAAAGTTCTTTGAATCTGCCTGTTCACTTTGGAAGGTATTGGGATATGACCCCAGAATTCTGAACCAGAAGAAAAGAAGAAATGTTTTAATTTTGAAGAATTTAAGTGTATATATGTCTCATTTTGACCCCACTCAGCTCTCTGACTGATTTCTCTAGAGTCAGAAAGGTCTGCTTTTGAATCGAAAGAGCTTCATTCTGAGGAAGGAAGGTCCTGCCAGATACAATTCAAATTATGTATAGGTCAACCACACTGTGATTTATGTCCAAACTGTAGAAAATCACCCGCCGCCATGTTGTCAGTTATACTTGACACGGTACTTAATATTCGGAATACACTGGCCATCTGAGAGGTAAAATACAGTCCAACTTTGGATTTGAAATCTTGGGCATACATATGAAGACCTGTTTATGTGCAGGTAACATGGGCTGACAAATTTTAACACTGGGTTTGGGATCTGTTCTGACCACCACTACATTTATTTTGGGGGGGCCTTTTGTGTGAATCATTGATACTCTTCTTTAAAAAAATACACAGGAATGATGTAACTAATGCTTCTCATGCATCTCTTTTGCTTCTGCAGGAGGGATTTTTGAAACTGTGGAAAATGAGCCTGTTAATGTTGAAGAATTAGCATTCAAGTTCGCAGTCACCAGCATTAACAGAAATCGAACCCTGATGCCTAACACCACATTAACCTATGACATCCAGAGAATTAACCTTTTTGATAGTTTTGAAGCCTCACGGAGAGGTAACTATTTTCACATTTTTAAAAGCTTTTTTGGGTGTTGTGTCTGCTCTACAAGTCACCTTTTCTGCTACCTGTCCTTTTTCAGAGCGGACATCTTTGTGTAAATGGGTTGCAGGAAATCTCGGTCCTCGATGTCACTGTCCAGTGCAGTCTGAACTATACTAATGGATGTTGCCTAGCTATGTTTTCTGGGCCATTCTGATTAGCTCACCCTTCAGTGCCCTCTACTCTATGATTAACTGGTTCAGCTGTGAATGGAAAATGTCAAGCTTGATCTGTTTTTCCTTCCTAAGGCTGAGATACCACCATGAAATTGTACAGTGCAGTCAAATAAAACTTTGTGGAAGGTCATATCCCCCGAGCATGTGGAAATGCCCACAACACACATAACCCACAGCCTGAATTTTAACAGGTTGTAAACTACTGGGTTTACCTAGCATCTTCTCAACTTTTTTTTCTTAAACTCCTTTCCACAAAATCATAGAAATCTAAAAATTAAACCAATGAAATAATCTCTGCATATTTTTTTCCTTATTCTTTTTTCTTCTGAATAGAAGACAAGGTCCTATAAAATAATCTAATTTATATTAGACTAGGCTGCAAGGTTTCTGTCATGGAAAGATTCCATTGGGATTGTGGGGCTTGCTGAGACATCCCCAAACACTTCCAAGACAACGCTGAAGCACAATCACGTTCAATACACTTGAAACTTGGCCTCTAACCAGGGAGGTATTGAGACTCCACACAGGTGTTTATATGTGGAAACCAAGGCTGCCCCACACCCTCGAGTGGGGCGGGGGGCTCTTTCCCTCATAGAGGAATGTTTGCCCACAAATAAATGGAATGCAATGAACGCCATGTTTATGTCGATTGCCAAGTAACTAATACTGGTGTTTCCACATAGAATTAACTCAGGATCATCAGATGTGTGCACCTTACACAGTCTTCTGCAGGATTCTTAGTGTTCTTTACAAACAAAAGGTAAAACTTGTTTTCCTAGGAGCACAGATGAAAAGAATATAGTATAATGATTCTTTTTTTTAATCTATGGCACAACCTTAGTGTAAGCACATTTTCTTTTTAAAGCTGGATGAAGCTACAGATACTACATAGGTCAGAGTTGTCTATGAAGAAATAATAAAAATTTCTATTTATATAGCTCTTCAAAGTTATCTTCACATGAATTATTTCTGTGGGTGAGATCTCTCTCTGTCTCTTGTCTCTGTTTCTGTCTTTGTCTATCTCTGTCTCTGTCCCTCTATATCTCTCTTTCTCTGTCTGTCTGTCTCTGTCCTGTCTCTCTCTCTGTCACACACACATTGCTGAGCAAATACCTTAGAAAGGCAAAAACATTTAACAACGATACTTCAACCCACATAAAATTGAAAGCTTTTTTGTGATCTTGAGTACCTGCCACACTTGTAAATTAAACACCCCCAAAGCTTCTTAAAACTGGTAATTTGCTGGCAAACAGAACTCAAAAAATTGATTTTCTGTCAAGTCATATTAGCATCCCTGAGCTAAATATTAGCAGGTATCTCAATCCATTGCCCATGTTAGACAAAACAACAGTTCATATACTCTCATGCTCTCATTTTATCTTACCAGTGAAAACATATCCAGAAAATAAGCTTTTGAAGACAATGGCAATTTATGCTTACAGCACTTAATGCAGAAAATTACATGTCTTCATATCTCAGGTAGTAATTCGGTACCAAAGAGCACAGCAGAAAGTTTCTGTTGTGAATGACTGTCAACATTTGCAGTTACATAGATATTTGCAATATGGCTTTCAAAACCTTATTTATTATTTTTTCTCTCTAAATCAAGTCAGATAATTTTGACAAATTATATATATACAATTTTTCTGCTTATAAATTTTGATATTATTTAATTCAAATATTTAATCATCTCTTGGCAGTTCCAAATTCCTTTAAATTAATATTAAAATATAAATTTGAAATGCTTTTAGACTTATATATAATGCCAGCATAAGTTTATATCAGCATGAAATGAGTAGACACTATTTTACATGGTTGTAGAGGATAATCAGTCCCATCTTTCTGGAAGGGAATTTGCTTAATATGTATCAGGTAACTAAAAAGTATCATACCATTTAATTATAGCTGAGAATCTACTCTAAGAAAGTAATGTAAAATTCAGAGAAAAATATAAGAACTAAGATAAGTATTATAATATTAATTATAATAACAAAAATTAGGAGCAGCTTAAATGTTCAATAGCATCGGAAGTGGTTAAATAAATAATGACACATCCATGGGATGGGCTATTCTATAGACGTGAAAAATATACTTTTGAAGACTGGGGGGACTTGGGGAAAAGGGTGTACTTTTAGTGTTATATTCAGTGTTAAATGAAGAAAGCAATGTATCAATGTATCAAATATAGTGTTACATTCAGTGTTAAATGAAGAAAGCAATGTATCAAATACAGATAGCAAATGTATCCGTATAATGATTTAATTTTTTTATATATTGGAATGCCAAAATATGAATAGGTATTTTCCCAAGATGATGGAATTACAAAGCCTTTTTTTCCTTCCTTACCTTTAAAATATTCTAAATTCTCTCAATGAATGTATAAAATCTAATAATGAGAAAAATATATAAATTTTATGAATTCATTTTTAAGTACATATTGCCTTGATTTTCTTAGGCTGCATGTTGGCTAATGTTGAGGTAGGGAGAGGCCTGACCTTGAGCTGGGCCCCTGGGCTCTGGTAGAAAGCCCGTGGCCCTGAACTCACTCCATTGTCTATGGTATTAGTGGGTTGGACCAAATGGCTTCTAAGATCCCTTTAAGTTATGCTATGCTATTATTCTATAATTAATTAGGTATCAATATCACTTGATATTCTTTAGCAGTTTTTCGATAGCCTGGAATTCATTTCTGAGTTTTGGGAAGATGGTACTTTGCAGCCTCCCAGAGAATCTTCTGAATTCTTGGACCACATTAATATCTTCATTGACACCCAGCCATAGGACAGAACTTCATTCACATGAAATTCACTTGGCAAATGTCTTGTAGAGCAGCTCTGAGCACCCCTGGGTTATGCCATGCCAAGCAAGGGATGTAGACCCCATCTGATTAAAAGTAATGGTGTGACACCAGCCACTCATTTTTGATTGCACAGAACTGGCCCTGTGATGTGTTACTAATCAGTCCCACATTAAATCTCTCAACATTTTACTATCTCGAGGATATTAGAAGTTGGATTAAGCATATTTTCTCAACATACAGATGGAGAGTAGAGGAAAATTTCTAATAGTGAAAATAAAAAGAGGGATCATGAAAGGAAAGATGAAATTCACAGCTCTCTCTCTCTCTGCCCCTGCCCTCCCTTCCTACCCCTCCTTGTCTGTGGCCACCAGCCTGTGACCAGCTGGCTCTTGGTGTGGCTGCTCTCTTTGGCCCTTCCCACAGTTCCTCTGTCAGTGCCGTGCAGTCGATCTGCAATGCTCTCGAAGTTCCACATATACAGACCCGCTGGAAACACCCCTCGGTGGACAACAAAGATTTGTTTTACATCAACCTGTACCCAGATTATGCAGCTATCAGCAGGGCGGTCCTGGATCTGGTCCTTTACTACAACTGGAAAACAGTGACGGTGGTGTACGAAGACAGCACAGGTATGGGACTCCCTTGAGACCTCACCTGGCTGTGTCGGGTGTGAACAACGGGAATCTGAGAGTTCTAGAGGCATTAACTCATCAGGTGGACTGCATAAAAATGCTCTTTTATATGAAGCTAATGGAGGATTCTAATTTAGGAATTCCATGTGTCACCATGTCCGATTCCTTTGGATGCTTTCTGATGATCCTTCCATCATCATACTTAGGGGGATTTGTTTTTTGTTTTGTTTTGTTTTTATTTTGAAGTTTTAATTATATTACACATAGGGCTGGGATGAGAGATTATTAATAGAATTTTACTGTATTTTTGATGACTACATTTTTTTTTATTTTTTTATTATATTCAGTTAGCCAGCATACAGTTCATCATTAGTTTTTGATGTAGTGTTCAACAAATATCACCTTATTGATATATGTTGTAATCCAATCAGAATATTAAAGATGTGATTACATTTCTCCAACTCTATTAAGACTGTGACAATGACTCCATTCCTTAAATAATGCAAAGAAAGTTGGAAAAATGACCATGAAGTATGCGTCCAACTTGAGAAGTAACTACGTAAATGTTATATGTTAGACAAGTTTCTAAAGTAGGTTAACAAAGAGGAATCTAGTTAGAGGTTATATCAATAAAACTGACCATTTCATAGGAAAGGGACTAAGAACCCCTGATAACCAACCCTTAATAAAGTTTGCGTTGTTCCACTGCTTATTTTAGGATGCGGAACAGAGCAGGACTGTGATGCTTAGAGCCTCCATCTCACTAGACACTTTCTCTCACCTGCCCCCATTCCAAGTTTCTTTTGCAGGCACCTTTCCTCTCCGTCTTCTGGTCACATTTTGAGGTTTGTTGGAACTCAGGCTCCCTTTTATACACTTAAATCCCCATGCTGGTGACTCTCCTTTGTCAAGTCCTTCTAATTTGAAGCTGTTCACCATCTTGCCCTTTTCAACTCCATTGACCCTGGCACTTCATTATCCCCTTCCCTGCACTCCCTATACCTCACATCAGCTAGGATGAAGGGTCCACCATTCCTTCCTTACATACCCCCAACTTCATCTGACTCTTACTGAAGTATAGTTGACACACAATGTTACATTAGTTTCAGATGATTCAACAGGTTTATATTCTATGCTATTCTCCCCACAAATGTAGTTACCATCTGTCACCATACAATGTTATTAAAATGTCCTTAACTATATTTCTTACGTTGTGCCTTTTATTCCTGTGACTTATTCATTCCATCACTGGAAGGCTGTACCTCCCTCTCCCCTTCACCCATTTTGGCCATCTCCTGCCCATCTCCCCTCTGGCAACCATCAGTTTGTTCTCTGTATTTATGGGTCTGTCTGCTCATTTGTTCATTTGCTTTGTTTCTTGGATTCCACATATAAGTGAAATCATATAGTATTTGTCGGTTTCTGTCTGACTTATTTCGCTTAGCATAATACCCTCTAGGTCCATTCAAGTTGTCACAAATCTCATTCTTTTCATGGCTGTGTAATATCCCATTATATATATATATATATACCATATCTTCTTAATCCATTCATCTATCAGTGAACACCTGGGTTGCTTCCATATCTTAGCTATTATAAATAATGCTGCAATAAACATAAGGATACATATATCTTTTTGAATTAGTCCTTTCATTTTCTTTGGATAAATACTCAGTAGTGGGATTACTGGATCATATGGTATTTCTATTTTTAATTTTCTGAGGCATCTCCATGCTGTTTTCTATAGTAGCTGCATCAATTAACATTCCATTCCTACCAACAGTGCATGAGGGGTCGTTCTTTTCCACATCTTCACCAACACTTATTGTTTTTTGTCTTTTTGATACTAGTCATTCTGACTGGTATAAGGTGATATCTCACTGTGGTTTTGACTTGCATTTCCCTGATGATGAGTGATGTTGAGCATCTTTTCATGTGTCTGTTTGCCATCTGTATGTCTTCTTTGGAAAATGGTCTATTTAGGTCTTGTGCCATTTTTAATTGGATTAAAATTTGGTGTTGAGTTGTGTAGGTTCTTTATATATTTTGGATATTGACCCTTTATCAGATATTTTAATTGCAAATGTTCTTTCCCACTCAGTAGGTTGCCTTTTGGTTTTGGTGATGGTTTCCTTCGCTGTGCAGGAGCTTTTTATTTTGGTGCAACCCCAATAGTTTATTTTTGCTTTTGTGTCTCTTACCTGATGAGATGTATCCATAAATATGTCCGACTCTCCTTTTCTGAAGCTGGCCCCTTACTATGCATGATCCTCCACGCAACCCCTAAGACAGTGAGTTCCCTCATTCCACACGATCACACTCAAATATCACTTCTTCCTTAAAGTCCTTTGAGACCACCATAGGGTTCAATAGCACTTTGCAAATATAAGTATGATATTACATGTTTCAAATTACCTGTTTGCACATCTAGGAGACTAGCAATTCTTAAACATTGGACTTTTATCTTATTTATTTTTATAATCTGCCACCTAACACAATTATGGCATATAGGGAAGTACTTAGTAATAATACTTAGGAATAATACTATTTACTTTCTGCATATATTTCCTCCAAGAATTAAAATTAGCTCCTTTCTTGAGCTACACGTTTGGTAATAAGGTTAAGAAAATTATCAGTGAGAATTAATAAAGCAAAGCACTTAACAATGTTTTTAATAGTATTTCATTTTTCACTGTCCTTTTTACCAAGCACTAGTACTTTCTACTTCTTAGGGGATGAAGAGTAAGCCTCCTTTACTTTGCACTAAACTCTGGTTCCATTTTAAACTGTCAGATAAAAATGACTGTTCTAGTTGGAAATAAGCATTTATGTATTTTCTTATACCTCATCTCATTTTAGAAAAAAGTGAAGGTAGGTGATTGGATATATAACTTATAAATGTTATATTCAAAACAGTCCTACAGGGAAGAATAAGCCACAGGCAGTCATATTCTTAAAGCTTCACCTGCTTGCTGGGAAGAAAAAAACATACTATCAAATGAATTCCATAAGCATATTTAAAAGGCCTTGAGATGCAATATTATAATGTGTAGGGGTGGAAAAGTTTTCCCTTCCTCCCTTCTAGGATTTTTGGCTGGTCAGGCAATTAAGTTGACATGAGACAAATTAATAGGAGTAAAGCAAACAAAGTTTAATAAGAGGTATAGTAAGCATGGGAGAAACCCAAGAAAACTAAGTAACTCTCTGAAATGGCCAAAGCCATCACCTTAAATACCATCTTCTTCTAAAGACAAAAGTTGCTGGGGGTGGGAAGTCAGTTAGGGGAAGTTATCAGGAAAAGCACAGTGAGCAAGGATAAGGTTGTTATGCCTATTTAAGTCCCTGCCTTCTCCATTGATGAGAAGAATTTCTAGAGATTGAGTCCTCCCCCCTCCTCCTGGTACAGTGAGGGAGACACCCTTACAAATGAAGACTTCCCTTACACATGTAAATGTCTCTTATAAAAGGGTAACATCTACTCAGATTTCAGAGCTTCATCGCGTCTGCTGTTTCTTAAAAATAAACATCTTATAATAATCCCGTGCCAAAGAGACACATTCTGGACTGGCAAATTCTGCTCCCCTTCAATTACGAATGTAAGTGTAATCAGATCGTCCATGTTGCTTACCTTTGTAAACAGAGAATTGCGCAAGCTAATAAAGTCATACTATTTCTTATTATGTAGTACCCTCGGTAGTACAAATTCTTCTCACTATTTCTACATCTCCAGCAAATCAGGGCCATCTAAAGGGAAAACAAATTAATGAATGGTATTAAAACTTTTAGATTTAATTTAAGAGCTCAACTAAAGGTGTGAGCATAACTGTTACAGATTTCAAATTGGATTTAGACAAAAATACAATTTGTAAAAGGATAATACAAAAGTTGATGTCCTAACCAACCTTCTGATTTCAGGTGAGCACTCATAAGTGATAAGGATTTTGCACAGGAGGAAACTCAAATTATCATTTCTATCATTTTTTTCCTTTAAAGTTTTTTTACTGTTATGTTAATCACCATACATTACATCATTAGTTTTTGATGTAGTGTTCCATGATTCATTATTTGTGCATAATACTCAGTGCTCCATGCAGAATGTGCCCTCTTTATATCATTTTTTTTACAAGAAACTGAAATCTGCTTTTCATCCCTATTAAGTTCACCCAAGCCTTGTTGCTCAATAAATACTTGCTAAAGTTGAAAATCCCAAATGAGTTTGTATGTTGCCCATTAAGTTAGAAATGATTCATGTTAAAATGATTTTGCTCACAAAGAAATTAAAAATGTAAATGAATAATCAATTGAGCCATTAAATTGGAACCCAGAGAGTAAACAGGTCAACTGAGATCAATAAAGGTAGATAGACATCTTTTGCCTTTGAGTGGGTTTAATACCGCTTGACTCAGGGTTTTGGTTGTAGTAATCATCAAGCCATAAAAAGGAGAAAACTTAGTAAACCTGAAGGAAAAGAAAGGACTTAGGTGTGCTCAGTACCCGCCCTCACACCAGAATTAAGTACCCATTAAAGAACACTTTACTGGCATTTGTTTAGGAGTTTGTTAAATAGCCTGAAGCCAGCTCAGATGTCTGGGGGACCAAATGGTCCATGACTCCCATTGAAGTCAAGGGGAGCACTGTGCTTGTCTCTAAGGACAAAATTCAACTCACTAAATACTAGCAGGCAGAATTCTGGAAGTGAAAATGTAGAAAGACCCTAGAGAACTGTTGGGGGAGTGAAGTTTTATTTCACTTCTCTCTCTCTCTCTCTCTCTCTCTGTTGCCTGGATGTTCTTCCCATCAGTCACCTACTTCTCTCTGATTCCCACTTTCAGAGGTGACCCTAGGCAATGAGAAATTGCTGCTCATTGGTCATCCCCTTTGCTTCATTAGACCCCTGGTGGAAGCCTGGCTTCTACCCCTTCACACACATCAGAAAGAACTGAGAAGCTGAGCACCAAATGCAGTGTGGGGGATAGTCAGCAGTTTCTGCTTTTTTA